CTTTTGTCCCACTAGAAATGCGAAGATCAGTTTTTTCCAAAATACATGGCATTTCTCACCCTGGCATCCGAGCAACAGTTAAACTGATAAGTGACCGATATGTATGGCCGAATATGAATCGTGAGATTAAACAGTGGACCAGAGCATGTTTAGCCCGCCAAAAGTCAAAAGTACAACTACATACAGTCTCACCTAATGGCCAGTTTCCAGAACCTGATGGAAGGTTCCAACACATACACATTGACATCGTTGGACCGTTGTCACCATCTAATGGCTTTACGTACATTTTAACGTGTATTGACAGATTTACGAGATGGCCAGTAGCTTGTCCCTTACCTGATATTTCTGCTGAAACTGTTGCAAAGAGCATCATACAAAATTGAATTTCCAACTTCGGAGTGCCCAGCATTATTACTACAGACAGAGGTGCCCAATTCGAAAGCCATTCATTCCAACAACTCACAGAAATACTGGGAATCAAACGTATACGTACTACTGCATATCATCCCAGTTCAAACGGCTTGGTGGAGAGATTTCATCGTCAACTGAGAGCATCGTTGATGGCAGTGAAGGACGATGATAAGTGGAGCGATAAATTACCTCTTGTACTTCTTGGAATACGTTCGACAATAAAACAAGATATCAAATGTTGTCCAGCAGAATTAATTTATGGAACTACTTTACGACTACCTGGAGAATATTTCAACCCAGCCACAGAAGTTCCAGCTGACGAAACTACTTTTGCACAACAACTGAGACAACATATGAGCCTTTTAAGATATCATCCGCCGCGACATCAGCTCAACCAAGCATACATGCCTGAAAAACTAGAAAATTGCACGCATGTTTTCATACGACACGACGGTGTAAGGAAACCACTTCAACCACCTTATGACGGACCATTCAAAGTAATAAGCAGAACAATCAAAATCATCACTGTCGAACGCGGAGGAAAACACGAGAATGTGAGCATCGATCGCGCAAAACCAGCTCTCATGGAAATAGAGGTGAATGTTTACCCAAATCAACATCATCTCAATATTCAAAATCTGATGATATTCCGGCTAACAAAACAGAAAGAATCACAAAATCAGGCAGACGAGTACATTGGCCACAAAGATTTGTACAGACAATTTATTTCTAATTCATTTCCATACTACCTTATTACGATACTATTAACTGTATGTTAAGATATAAATCTATTCTGTAACTCTTTACAATAACAACCTGATTATTATTCTAATAATAATTTTTCTGCTTTTATTGTTACATGTTGCACAACTTTCTAAACATTTTAGTTCGTTTCAAAGTTGTTAACATTTTCGAATATATACAGTTATAATCGAACCTCAGAAAACTTAAAAGCCTCAATTCGGTTTTCATACCTTTTTTTCCTTGTAATTTACAATATCATTCCGAATACAGGTAAACTTCATTTACCCGCATTCTACGGAGGGGCTATTGTAGTGACCCATTTTATTACTCATCATCGTACTATACTTTCATTGTGCAACTGTACTTTGATTTGTTTATTATTATTACTCTAAATCTTGCGTGTTAGCAATTGATACATTTTTGTACTCGCTCAATTTTTGAATTTTGATTACGGCGGGAATACACATTCCTACACCTTCTCAGGTGTCTTCTGATTTACGTTGTGTGTGTCGAGTAAGCACAACGTTAGGACACAATTATAAACGAGAAGAAGTATTAAGATATACGTATACGCTAATTTAGTCAAATAGAACACGCCGCAACAAGATTCAGATTCAGATTTATTGTTTGAGGATAGAAGGCTTGGAGCCTATGTTAATCCTTTTCTAGTAAACTTCTGTGGTTGTCCAAACCCTTCTTGAACGAATCAACTGAGGTTGCAGACACCACTTCTTCTGGGAGTCGGTTCCAAGAGTTTATGACTCTGTGTGAGAACCAGTACTCAACAGCAATATGATTTCTTCTTGGCTTTTGAACTCTCCTGCTATGTCCTCTAAGGTGTTCCGACCTGGTGGGAAGGAAAAGAGAAAATAGGTCAGGTCCGTAGTCATTATTTAAAATTTTAAACATTGTGATTAAATCTCCTCTCTGCCTACGGTATGACAAGGAGAAGAGATTTAAACTGTCTAGTCTTTCCTCGTATGATAAGTTAGTCATGCCATGAATCATACGTGTTGCTTTCCGTTGAACCCTTTCTAGAATAAGTGAGTCCCCTTTTAGACAAGGGCTGGCGGCCTGGATGCAGTTTTCCAGTCTTGACCTCACCAGAGATGTATATAAGGAGGTGAACATATCTCTGGTGATTCTAGTGAAGGCTCTACGAATTGCCCATAATGACCTGAAACTACGTGCAGCCACCGCGCGACAGTGTGCTGTAGTTTTTAAGTCGTGGCTAACTATGACACCTAAGTCCAAGTAAGTCTGAACTGATGGAAGTGTAATTCCCTCTAGTTCATAAGAGCTCGTGCTTGCTTGTCCAATGCGCATGGTTGCACATTTTGTCACGTTTATCGGGAGCATCCATTCTATGGACCACTCTGACAATTTGTTGAGGTCCTCTTGCAACGTGGACGTGTCACTGTTGCCCTTCAGCTCTCTCCAAATTTTTAAGTCATCTGCGTATAGGACCATAGGGGAATCGGTGAGTAGAGATAACTCATTGATATACAAAATAAATAGGAGAGGTCCAAGTACCGTGCCTTGTGGCACTCCGCTGCGTACTGCTGTCCAGGAGGAGAGTTTCGAGTTGATCCTAACCCTCTGCCTCCTATCTATGAGGAATTCCCTGAGCCAGTTTAGTAAGCTGCCTTTGATACCAAGACTTTCCAACTTCATGAGTAGTCTTTTGTGAGGTACTTTATCAAAGGCTTTGCTGAAGTCTATGAAGACGACGTCAACGGGTCTTCTGTTGTCCCTGGATTTAACCCAGCTTTCTCTTGCAGTGAGAAGATTTGACAGGCATGAGAGGTTCCTTCGGAAGCCATGCTGTGCTCTTGATAATAAGCTTCTGTTTTCTAGATATGCCATTATGCTTTTCTTGATGATTCTCTCCAGTGTCTTAATTAAAGTGCTGGTGAGACTGATAGGCCTGTAATTTGAAGGGCTTTGTCTTGATCCTCCTTTGTGGATGGGGGTTACTATGGCGTCTTTCCAGTCACGCGGTAACACTCCATTTTGGAGAGAAAGCTTGAAGATCGTAGTCAAAGGGCCGGCTATGTGTGCTGATAACTCCTTGAGAAGCCTTGGGTGAAGATTATCAGGACCCATTGATTTCCCTGCATCTAGTTTCCTTAGGCAGTTGAGCACGATGCCTTGGTCGATGTCAATGGAATCTATCCCATGTTCTTCTGATGCAGCCAGAGCTGATCCTATAGGCTGTGACGACTCCTGAGTGAAGACTTGGGAGAAGTAGTTTGCCATTGCTTCTGCTTTTTCTTGATCTTCTTCGATTGTGTCATTGTCGATAGTCAGGTTTGGGACACCATTGGATGTTTTATTCCTGAAATTCATGTACGAGAAAATTTTCTTAGGTTGTGCCTTTGCATTTTGAGCCAGGTGTGCTTCGAATTTCATCCTTGATTTGCGGATTTCTGCAATAGCTTTATTTCTAGCAGTGTTGTATAATTGCCTGGTCTCAGAAGTCTCAAGTGTGGCAAACAAGTTCCAACATTTGTGTTTACGTCTAAGTAACTTACGAATCTCTCGGTTTATCCAAGGAGGGCAGTGTTTCCGACCCTTTGGGACAGACCAAGGGATGAAAGGTTCAGTTACTTGGGCGTAAAGTTGTTTAAATTGGTTCCATGCGGCTTCTACTTGAGACTCTGGGTTGACGTACCAGTTTACTGAGTTGGCTGCTGAGACGATTGCATTTATATCAGCTTTCCAAACGTTTGGTCGAGATGGGGTTTTGGCCCTTGCTGCCGTTGCTGTGAACTTGAAAGTGAGCACAGCATGGTCACTTCTTCCTAAAGGAGGAAGATGTTGTATGAGATCTACATCCTCACCATGGGAGAACACTAGGTCCAGAGTTGAGGAGGAGTGCTGTGAGTCATAGCGCGTGGGCTTGATGATATGTTGGACTAGAGCTAACGATATACTAGATTCCAGCAGTTTATAGTCAAAGGAGTTGACTGAGGATGGAGTTGTTAGGCTCGTCCAGTCAACTGTTGGGGCATTGAAGTCGCCAACTACGAGACTTCGACATTTCGAGGTCCAGGAGCCTAGCTTCTCTATCAGGAAGTCATCTGCACTGCAGTTAGGACTGCGGTACATAGCAATGAGGTCAATGTCTTGGCCTATGCATTTAAGTCTGCAGCGTAGAAGTTCGCACGACTCACTTTCGTGAGCGAGTGCTTCGATACTACGCACGGTTAAGCATTTCTTGAGGTAAATGACTACGCCACCTCCTTTGCGGTTTAGTCGGTCTACCCTATGCACTTCGAAGTTTGGCAGGTTAACTTCGCTGTCAGTGACATCGGGTGTGAGCCATGTCTCTGTGATAATAATTACATCCGGGTTTCCGGAGTCTATCATGTTAACCAGCTCAGTCCGTTTATTTAACAGGCTGCGGGCGTTTGTGTAGCAAACTGTTAATCCAGTTTGGTGCTTCCCCGGCCTACCCACAGAGGTTTCGGGATCATTAAACTGCGAACTTGAACAACCCGAAAACCCTTAATCTTAAGGTTCTTTTCGCCGTTTCGGCGAAAAAGCCAGCAACACCCGGTATTCCCAGCCGGTCACCCATGCAAGTACTAACCGGGCCCAACGTTGCTTAACTTCGGTGATCGGACGAGAACCGGTGCTTTCAACGTGGTATGGTCGCCGACAACACTTCTTGTTGTAAGAATATTTGTCTTGGAGTTTCTTCCGTATAAATAAACAGCGTTTTTTAAAGCATCTATGAATCAAGTATAGGCAGTCTATGATTTTAAAATAATTATGATTTCTTTTCCATTTTGTATTTTAGCACAAAAAGTCTACAAACAAACATATTGGTATCTAAACCGATGGAACGTAGACGTTCTACTAAAAGAGCTGCTCCAAGGAAATCTGAGCCTGCTCCCGAAGAAAGGTAGCCACTTTCAATGAAATAAAATAAATACCTTTTAGGTTTTTCGTTAACCCATCATCTATCAGCCCGCATCTCCTCTGTCCTATATGCCAGGAGGCATTTTCTAATCCTCAACGTGCACCATGCGGCCACTCATTTTGCAAAAGTGTAAGTGTTAAGTGTCTAAATATCACTTTACCTAATAATGTATATTTGCTTATACGACGGCTGTATTTGCTTATTGGTAACTAGCAGTATAATCCAGGATGCACATTTTCTCCTGTATGGGACTCATCAACTAAGAGTGCTCGTAGTAGGTAACAATGTGCTTACAGAGACTGCACTTTTTAGAGCCTTGAGATCTAGTGCGTTTCGAGGGTATACTATCAATAAATATACGCGAATAACATTGCAGGGTGACTAGGATAATTCGATATATTATATATACCTATCGGTAGAATAGTACTGACGGTAGTAGGGAAGCAAAAGAAAGGGGGGGGGTGACAGGAATAAAGGAGAATGATGATCAGGAGGACTTAGTGTGCTTATTATTCTTTTTCCCTCATTCACACTTCTGTTTGTTATCTCTCGTTTGAATCTCTCTTAACTGTCTTCTCTTGCCTTGTGTACTACATGGAGGAAGTGTGGCAACTCGAACTGCTGTGCATCTGTGCCAAGTTCTCTGTTGAAACCAGTCAGTGAGTTATTTGTTCTATTAATCTGTAATTCAGTGGGATCGAAAAATTCAAAGGAAATCGAAGAGAATTGGGCTAATCATTACTCGTGTGAAGCACATTCACTTGTCCGCACACCGTAATAATAATAATAAATGCCAGTACATGGATGAAAACAAAAGAAATTCTTCATATTGATTTTTAATCCATAAAATGGAAATGTTCATTAAACACACAGGAATGTAGTAAATTTCCTAATATATATAGATTTTTTTTGCACTGTATTGTTTTTACCGTCTTTGTTTTTAGTGTATCGACCCGTGGATTCGTGACTCGCCTACCTGTCCGGTTGATCGTTTGCCTATCCCAAAAGGATCCATGCATCATGATTTTATAGTTGAAAATATAATAGGCGAATATAAGGTAAGTTTTTGTACGTTTAGTGAGTACAGACAATGAGAGTATCGTTGGCATTGGTTTATACTCTCTTTTTCAAGTAATCATTTGCTAATACAATGTACAACTGTAAGAATTTATGAGGAAAAATTAGAAGAAAATTCACTACCTAGGTGCACAAGTGTTTGTAGTCGCGTTACCTACTGATAAAGATAGCCACTGATGCCAACATTGTGATGTCATCGTTTCATTGGGAAATGTGCTAAATTTGATTTTTTTTTTAGAATCCAGACTAAACCGATTATATGATGGAATTAACTGCATTCTATCTCCCGTGTGTGTTGGGTGGTATACTGAAGTGAGGAATATTGAGGTTAGGCTTCGTGTGTTTTTTGGCAACGAGGAAAAGTTATTCGATGAGGTTATGAAGGTATATCGGTTGAGATAGTTAGAACTTGTATTACGCATGCGCCTAGCCATCGCATTCTTCGGCGGGTAATGTTAGCTGACATAGGTTGGATCAGGCAGGAAAAGAGCTAATGGTGGTCAAACTAAAACATGGCTTCATCGGTAAATCAAATCCACAACAGTTAGTTTAAGCCAGACACGTATGGCGGTGTAGAATGCTTGGTTGGTGGGGGGTCCTTGGGATGGTAAGAACCAATGGTTGGAGAAGATTTTTAATATGGTTCAAAATCGTTCTCAGTGACAGCGCGGATAAATTCACTCTTTGTGATATATCATATCCATCGTCCTTCGTTATTACTGTTCTTTTTCCCTCACCCACACCAGTGTTTACTATCTCTCTTTTGAGCCTCTCTTTTCTTGCTTCGTGTGCTGCATGGAGGAGGGAGTGGGAACTCAAACTGCTGTAGATCGGTGCCAAGTTCTATGTTGAATCCAGTCAGTCAGTTAATGTTTCATTTCACTGTTCATTATGCTGTAACTGAATCCCATCTACACCTACTGTATTACGTGTCGTCAATTGTTTGTTAGAAAATTCCTTGGCGTCCTGATTTGTGAACGCGGCTGGGGGTTGTAAGCTTGAGGCTTTTATATTTTGAAGTAGCCGTATTCTTATTCTTTCTATTCACCTATTTAGTTTATTTTTATTTTCAGGTATCATGTCCTTGGCGTTCTCTAGGATGCGATTTTATCGGTCGCTTGTGCATTTTACCCAGTCATAAGAAAACGTGTCCAATGAATCCTGAACTACTTCCTGCAGAATTACGTAATCGTCTTCTGGTTGGTTTACAAAATACAACAAGAAACAGAAATCAATCTTAAGACTTGAATTGTTATTCTTATAATGAAAAGCTATCGAAAGCTCTACAGGAACCTACCCCTCCTGCAGTCATAAATATTAGCACAAATGATGACAGTAATGAAAGTCATGCATCAACTAGTCATGAGAATAGTGTATTGTCACAGAGTGTTGGTCCCACTCTATATGACACTAGAAATAATGAAAGTGTTGATGAAGATCACCTTTTGCCTGCTCCACCACCTAGCCTGTTGTTTCGATTATATCAGAATTCAGATGAGAATGGTCGCAGTCTATTACTTAACTTTCTAAAAAGTGATCAACGTTCCATAATAAATACTGAATCTACTTCTACCAGTGCAGGTAATAAACGACGCCGTAGACAATGAAATCAATGTGATCCAATCCATTTACAATTCGAATGGCATTTGTGTATTCGTGCATTTAACAATCATTGAGTGTAAATTTCAAATTGAAACTCTTCTCTGGGCAATTTCTCTTGATTTTGAATGTGCACACATGCTGTAAATATACGTGTTGTTTGTAATATAATATATAATATATGTATTCAGGGAACATTTTAAATTTTGTTAACATTTAGAGGTTAAATCAAAGTTTTTATTCAGTGAATAAACTTGTAAATCCAATTTAAGGTATGGTGTACTCAAAGAATTTCCCCTTAATTCAACGTCCAAATGTTTCATACCTAAATAGTAATTGATCACTTGGTGGTGGTGGTGGTCAAGATTTGTAAGTTTGGTATGTCTTCTTGAACTGTTACAATATTAACAAAAATCAGTGTTCCCACAGTCGATGGTTCAGTGGGAGAATGGTCGTCAACTACGCTGGGCGTCCGTGGTTCGATTCTCGGCCGACGCACTCTTAAACCTAACTAAGCTGGTAGTAAGCCTGGTAAAGAGGGAAGGTAGGGCGTGAGGTTAGCAACCCCACCCCGTAAAGATGCAACCATTGCTATCGTAACTTTAAAGCTCTAGCTTCAAGCCATATGTTCCATTGGGAACGCAAAGGAGTAAAATTTAAAGAAACAATCGTGTCTACCCTCATCTTCTCAGGTGAACTGTCGGAAACAATTGTAAAGTTCGTTATCTGTGAGAAACACATGACATTTCCAATGGCTTTGCTGAAGTCAAGGGAACGTCGGCCAATGTGAATACTTTATAATACTGTCACTAAATTAGTATGGTCGTTAAAATTCGCGTTTACAACGCTTGGTTAGGTACACATGTAAAATCTAGTCTCTTCTGGCTGCAGATGTGCGATGAGTCTGTTTTCGATAGTCGCATAGAGCGACTTGCATCCAGCGGTACCCGTTTGGAAGAAGTAGCAATTGCCTTTCAGTAACTGACGACATCTTAGGATTCCCGTGGCTTAGGCATGCTTGATGAATGTCACTTCTTTCATTTTTGCAGGGTCTCATTGAACTCCGATCGTTTTTTGTCCTACAATGTGTGTGCGCGTGTACCTGAATGGAATTTATGCATTTATCAATTTCTAAGTATGTCCGTTCTGCGTTTGAAGATGGAATCTTGGAGTGTTTCAGCATTATGTTGGCTCTTTAGCTCTATGGAGGGTAGAACTATGCAGTCATTTTTGAATAGAACACCAAAATGTCTGTTAATTGGAGGATTAGAGTCAAATACATCATTAAGGCTGTGACCTTGTCATATGTCTCCTTACCCGTTCAAGGATATCTGCTAACCACTTTGCAATCTGATGATATGGTGAGTTGACTCCATGTCTATAATATGTCGAAGTGAGACATCCTTCTTATTGCACTTCAGGCAATCCATATTGTCTCGGCATAAACTGAATTGCATGGTTTTGTTTGTTCATACATCTATGTCATAATTGAATTTTCTTTCATTTTATTCAGTAATTTTGCAAGGAGGTTTTCTGTTCGTCTCGGTTGGGTGATTTGAAGAATTTGGTATTCGTCTGATAGTACGTTTGTTTGTTTCTCGACATTATCTGATTTATTCAATACAATTCCCCTAAATCAGGCCAGACAAGGATTATGTCTTTATTTTCTTGAAGTTGTTTTCTGCCTCTCTTCGTTATCAGATAATAATGACTCAGTCGTGCACGCATGTACTTGTAGCGGCTGTCGAAAATTGCAGCTTTAAATTGCTCGAGATGTTTTTCAGAATTAGGTGTGACAAATCAAATATCTGCAAAGTTCGATTCTCGAACTGAACTTTGGTCTGTAATTCGTTGATATATCTCAATACATCGCAAAATTGTGGACCAAGTGATTGCACTTGGAGTCGGATAAGGCGTGAGAGATATAGTTGAACAATTGAAGACGTTTTCCAGGATTCTGCGGAAACTATGGGACACTGGTTCAGTGCGTGTCTATAATAGCGGGAAATGGCAGTGTGATGCAGTGTTTACTACTGCCGACGAGTAGAGTGCCTTGCGCTGATAAAGGTACTCTACTCGTACTCATGCAGCCAGGTGAGGGCTCACGGGGAGTTGTCATCTGAAGTGGTGACGACTAGTGGCGTCCGTCAAGGATGCCCATTATCCCCATTTCTATATAATTTCATCAATAATGTACTAATGGAATTAACCCTAACTGACTACAGCGGCTCAGGGATTGACTTGTTACCATCAAGGAATAATCTCGTTGACTTAGAATATACAGATGACATAGTCCTCTCAACTAGGTGAAGACGCTGACAAAATGCAGTCTTCTGAACACCTTGAGTAGCAATCTACGAATGTTTGGCATGCTATTCGCTCCCGCCAAATGTAAGACGATGCTACAGGACTGGACTATATTGACGCCTAACTTCGAAATAGGCAGTGAACTGGTAGAGCGCGTTGACCATTTCACTGATTTCGGGAGTTACATCAGCCCCAACTGGTTGATCACTGACGAAATCTCAGCATGAATACAGGAGTCTCGTTTCGCATATGCCAGTTTACGGCGTCTCTGGCGTAGGTGTGATATCCGGCTATCAACCAAAGGGCGTGTGTACTGCTCAGCAGTCCGCTCCTTCTTCCTCTATGGCTGTGAGACCTGGCTGTTGAATGTATCTGGTCATAAGTCCTAAAAAACTCGTCAGTTTTTCGGATGTCTTTGTCGGAATGCGACTGCATCTGCTTCCACTGAATTTAATTAACTGACAGGCCTCATTACGACTCGACATTCCTAAAAGTAATACAGACCAAATTCACTTACATAAATTAAGCATCTACATAATTAAGATGGGTCCCAGTGGCTTAATGGTATACAAGCTCGCCTTGTAACCAGAAGGTCCTGGGTTCGAATCCCGGTGGGTGCGTACAGTGAAGAGTCCCAAACTGGGACGAAACAGCTGTCCAGGACTCCCAGGTTTTAAGTGTGTCGGTGGTACAGCGGTTAGGACGCTCGCCTACCATGCGCATGGTCCGGGTCCGGCCGACGCACTCCTTTACCTCGCTGAGCCGGAAATAATGCTGGTAAAGAGGAAAGGTTGGGCATGAGGCTACCAACCCCATCCTGTAAAATAAACACTGCTACAGAAACTTCAAGTCATTAGCTTTAAGCCCTATGTTCCACTGGGGAAAGTGAAGGGAAAAAAATAATTAAGATGTTTGACTTAAGTATTCAACAAATTCAGTCATCACAGTTTACACTTCTTTTGAAATAGGGAGCACATTAATGGCGCAGGAAGTATCATGAATATTACGCATAGATAATATTATTAACTGCCAGTAATTGTGCCATCGAATCATACTACAAGAATACATTTAACAATACTTTGTTAGTGGTCTGAGGGACAGAAATATTAGAGCGAAACATACAGGCTAGATGAAAGTTCCACAAAGTTGTCTCACTACTATACAGTGTCTCATTTGCCTATTTTTCCTCTGCATGTGAAAGTAGCCACATAACGATGAACCTGCCTATTTGTACGGCTAATTGTAGCTGCGGAGCCAGCTACAATGATCGTATTTCCGAACATCATCCGACATGGTTAAGCAAGGGACAAACAAGATCTATTCGTCGCTCTATTGTAGCACACCTTGTAGATACTGAGCATAAGGTTGATGTTAATATAGCATTTAAAATTATCTATCACACCCCTACTGATCTTAATTTTGCTCTACGAGTTCGTCTTCTACAGATAGTTGAAGCAATAGGAATCCACCTGAAGAAGCCAAGTCTATGTGTTCACAAGAAATTTGTGTAGTCACTCTCCTTGCCTTGGCCATCGTTACATGATTGTATAAACCTGACTACTTCGCCCCCTCCTTCTAAACCTTTAAAATTATAATTGTGCAAATTATTTTATTTTTTCTGACCACTTCATCTTTAATTACGTGTTATCCTTGTAAAATTAATTTATTCTATCCATTTCTACCTTTTAAATGTGTATTGATTTTCTTCGTTTATTATCAACCCATTGTCATTTTGACACTTTAATTATTGCAAAAATATTCATTCAGACATCTATAAAACACAAAATAATCGAGCAAAGAATATTCTTTTCGATAAATTCCTCTTCCAGGCTCTACAATTATATATATGTTTATATACACAGAATATTTTAAATTATTGTTAATTATTGTTAACAAACTTATCACCACTTGTTTGGTAAACTGTTGTGTATTGTAATAAAAATGCTATATATATTAGAGTAGAGCCAGAGATGAGGATCTAATTGAAAAGTGAATATTTCTTCGCTCAATCTTTCTGTTTTTTAAATGTCTAAATGGGGATTTTTCTATATAGAAATCCAGTTGACTGCCACTGTTCTAGCTAATGAAAGACGAGAAAATCTGAAGCGCGGTAAATTTAAAGCGCGATAACTTTTATCCTTACCTGGGAAGGTTTTTTATAACCATTACGATTGATATTTATGTCACGTCCGTCAACTCGTGAAGTATATCGAGACCGCTGTCTGTAAACCACGATTGTGTTATGTTGTTTTAACCCTGGAGTCCTTCATGTGCTTTACTATGGGAATAGATAATATTATACCATTAGTTCAGTCTAAAGAGCTTGCCCTACTCTCACAGAAATTCTGAGGTCAAGAGACTGGTGACTCTTCCCACTTGAAAAACCATCAAGAAACCATTCTTCCTGTTACTTGCTAAATCTCAGTTCAGGAAGTTGTCTCTATTTACTGCATTCTAGGTGTAGGTATGCGAGGATGTAAGTGCCTGACCCCTTAAGAATATGATCATTGATCAGAACAACGCTTTTTTCTGTCTAAGAGTTTACTGTACAGTTGAGAGGGCACGGAGATCGTTCAACTACAGAGTTAACATTCGGAACATTCCAAATAGGTTGCGGATCACGACATTTGATTTCGTTATTGACTGCTTGCTGTCATCCTGGGCCTCTAGGGTGGCCATGTTTGCAGTAGCAGCTAGCTGT